CATTACAACACACCTACAAAAAGAGCTTGTATTGTGAGGTCCAAACACTAGTTTCGCTATCCCCACCCCCCAGCCTCCCAACAGACACCTCATTAGGTGGATTTTCCCAATGAAAATGCCACTCTCCCTTATCAAAAGAATTTGTTCTCTTGAAGAACCCTCCTACCTATTCCAGGACCAAAACCTGTCCACTTTCCAGAGGCAAAGCAAGACATCTGTGTGTGTACATGTAACCAAAGGCCTATGGATAAAACCTACCTTGCTCAAGGTGGTTGGAGATAGTAGCCAATATACCTCCCTGAACTTCACACTTGCGCTTTGCCTCCAGCCATGTCACTTTTTCTTGGCTGTTGATCCTAAAGCACTACAAATGGTGTTTCACAACAGAGAGATAGAATAAGAAACAGGAGAGCTTTCAGGCGGGGAAATCTTTTTTGTTCATATTTGTTTAATTCACTATTACTCCTCCCTTGTTGTCAAGCAAAGACATTCTGTGAGACTCCTTGCCAAGCAAGGGTGCAAATCTCTTGATTAAAGGCAGCTGGCTGCAGCCTGATTTAAGTGGCAGCCTTGACCCGTGTTCCTTTGTTGGAAACAACCATCAAATCTCTGCTCTGGCATGGTGTTCCTGTGAGTCTTGCATGTGAAACTCTGACCTTGGACTGGCTGACAAACCTGACTTGGCTCTCTGAACTTTGGACTGGATTTTGACTACTCTTCTGTGAGCTCCTGTTGAAAGCAAAACCACTCAGGCAAATTTTCTTTTCAAGAGACTTTGTTTGGACTGGCTGACAAACCTGACTTGGCTCTCTGAACTTTGGACTGGATTTTGACTACTCTTCTGTGAGCTCCTGTTGAAAGCAAAACCACTCAGGCAAATTTTCTTTTCAAGAGACTTTGTTGCTTTACAAATCTTCCCTTGTCTGCTGTTATCTGCTGAGCCTTGAGTAAATTGCTTTCCTCACCCAGCAACTGTGTGTGAGTTTGAGACCTGAAACAGGACATTTCCTCCAAAAATGCTCAAGACACAAGGTATGCTTTTTCCTTCCTGCATCAACCCAGTGAGATAATACAGATCAACCAGTAATGACTGGGTGACATCATCAAGTGATGTCTCATCAACCATAATCTACCATTTCACTACATTATCTCCTTGACTCATTTATTCCTATGTGCTGAAAGCTAACTAGAGAAGGGGCAACCTTACTCAGACCTTTCTGGAAACTGTGCCTGATGCTGGCTCAGGCAGGAATACAGAGTATTGTGAAGTTGGTTGCAGTATTCTCCACAGGACTTCTTTTTCTTCTCACATATCCAGTTCAAGGAGGACACACAGGAAGATA